CGCCAAGGACGTCACTCTTATCCGAGCAGAATAGTTGCCAGGCTGTGCCACGTTGATGTAGACCCCCTTGTACTTTTTGAACTTCTGCCGGAAAACGCATACCACAGTTGATGGACCTTCCTAAAAAGAAAAAAAAAAAAGTAAACAAAAAATAAACAAAAAATGCAAAAAAAAAAAAAAAAGAAAAAAAACAGAAAAAACCCAAAACAAAAAAAACACAACAAAACAAGTAATAATTTGTACAGATGAAAAAAATGTTGAATATCAATCTATAACCTGAGGTTTAATTATATGCTCCTGGAAATGGAGGTTTGCAACATGTACAAATATCAGAATTCTAGTACACAATACTACTAGGTTCCACCCAATTACTCACCTACCAACCCAAACAGTGCTGGGGCAAGGTCATCCAGTGCCCATGGACAGAAGCCAAAAACTGTGCACCCAACCCCCGCCCCCCCCACCCCAGCCTTCATTATATGCCAGGTTAGGGGGTGCAACCCCCAGCTGTAGTCATTGGCTTATCAAAATGCCTTGCATCAGAATCGGCTCACTAGCGCCCCCATCCATATAACCTCTTTGCCCAGAACAGCCTCCCCTCCTGCCCTCCCCTTGTCCCAAACCTGCACCCAATTACCTACCTACCCAACTGTATACCCAACTTCCCACCTACCCAACTTCCCACCTACCCAACTTCCCACCTACCAACCCAACTATCTACCCAACTTCCCACCCACCTCCCCAACTATCTACCCAACTTCCCACCCACCTACCCAACTATCTACCCAACTTCCCACCTACCTCCCCAACTTCCCACCTACCTCCCCAACTTCCCACCTACCTCCCCAACTATCTACCCAACTTCCCACCTACCAACCCAACTATCTACCCAACTTCCCACCTACCAACCCAACTATCTACCCAACTTCCCACCTACCAACCCAACTATCTACCCAATTTCCCACCTACCAACCCAATTATCTACCCAACTTCCCACCTACCAACCCAACTATCTACCCAACTTCCCACCTACCAACCCAACTATCTACCCAACTTCCCACCTACCAACCCAACTATCTACCCAACTTCCCACCTACCAACCCAACTATCTACCCAACTTCCCACCTACCAACCCAACTATCTACCCAACTTCCCACCTACCAACCCAACTATCTACCCAACTTCCCACCTACCAACCCAACTTCCCACCTACCTACCCAACTTCCCACCTACCTACCCAACTTCCCACCTACCTACCCAACTTCCCACCCAACTTCCCACCTACCAACCCAACTATCTACCAAACTTCCCACCTACCAACCCAACTTCCCACCTACCTACCCAACTTCCCACCTACCTACCCAACTTCCCACCTACCTACCCAACTTCCCACCCAACTTCCCACCTACCAACCCAACTATCTACCAAACTTCCCACCTACCAACCCAACTATCTACCAAACTTCCCACCTACCTACCCAAAATTCCCACCTACCTACCCAAATTCACGCTGCTACCACTACTACTAAGCTTCACACTGATCCATTTTTCTCCCACGTGACCATGGAGTAGGAGTACTACGGGACTCTTCAAACTGATGCGTTGCGTGTCCCGTTGCTTGGTGCATTTCTTAGTGCTCCTCCCCATTGAAATAAATGGAAAAACGCACCAAAACACCCCCCGTGGAGCATTTCTGGTGAGGTTTTTGAGTCACGTCATGTTAGAAATGCCATAGATCTGTGTGAAAGTAGATTAATAATCATACTTTGAAAACTAATGCATTACTGTAAACAATTTCTGTCACTTGTGTAATGCATGGGTCGAATTCCGAACGAATTTTCTTCCGAAAATCGGAAATTTCGTGCATTTTGTAACCTGATGGTGCCATCATTTTTATTTCAAAATTCAACCAACCCAGCCTTCAATTTCACCTCCTGTTGCTACAGAAAAGAATTTTTCGTGGCCAATAAATTTTCTTTTCTTTCCAGGTCACAGCTCACGCTCATTTCTTTTTCGATTACATTTCTCACACGATTCTCCCATCCTGGATTCGAAATTAATTCCTTTTTAAAAATTTCCAACATGTCCGAGCACTCAAATTTGATGGTCACATGAAAATCGGACATTTGTGACCCACTAATGGTGTGAAATTCGAAAGAAAATTCTTAGACAAGATTTTCAAAAGAAGATTCTTTCAGAATTCGACCCGTGAATGGCCGGCTTAATGCTTAGATTGCATCAAAAGAAAAAAAAAAAAAAAAAAAATCGCTTGAAACTAATATCTCTTCTAGACACCAACATTGCTTTTCAATGGGAACTCGGGAGGGGGGGAACGCAATGTATGTAATGGCAAGGAATACTGGAGTGTGCTGCAGGGTCTATTGATGCTGGCTGCAGGGGGATCTATTACTGCTAGGGGGGATCTATTACTGCTAGGGGGGGTATTATTCCTGGGGGTGGGTCTTACTTTGCTGGGGGCAGGGACTGACCATTTGGAAACTCAGGCACTGCCAGAGGGCCCGGGGTCAGTAGGGGGCCCCATGAGATGCCCCTGGTACCTTTTTCATAGGCATTTTTGAGTTTGGGCAAGGACACAGGGGCCCCATGATCCCCTATTGCCTGGGGGCCCCATGAGTTGTCAGTCCGCCCCTGGCTGGGAGTCAATTGTTGCCAGGAGGGATCAACTGTTGTGGGAGGATTTATTGCTGCTCACTGCTGGAGGGTCCATTGATGCTGGCTGCAGGGAGATCTGTTTTTGCTGGGCGTTATTTTGTTGCAGGTGGTCCATTGTTGCTTGGGGGACCGACTGTTACTGGGAAGGATCTATTGTTGCTGATGGGGGTATTTTACTGCTTTTCTTGTTATCATTAACAAATTCCATACAATTTACTTAGCACCACAAATTGATACTGGTTCTGGTGCTCAGAGGTGGGTAGGAGGTGGATACAAGGGATGGTGTTCAGAGGTGGGTAGGGAGTGGACCCAAGGGATGGTGCTCAGAGGTGGGTTGGGAGTGGACCCAAGGGATGGTGCTCAGAGGTGGGTAGGGGGTGGACCCAAGGGATGGTGCTCAGAGGTGGGTAGGGGGTGGACCCAAGGGATGGTGCTCAGTGGTGGGTAGAAGGTGGAAACAAGGGATGGTGCTCAGTGGTGGGTAGAAGGTGGAAACAAGGAATGGTGCTCAGAGGTGGGTAGGGAGTGGACCCAAGGGATGGTGCTCAGAGGTTAGTAGGGAGTGGACCCAAGGGATTGTGCTCAGAGGTGGGTAGGAGGTGGACCCAAGGAATGGTGCTCAGAAGTGGGTAGGGGGTGGACCCAAGGGATGGTGCTCAGAGGTGGGTAGGAGGTGGATACAAGGGATGGTGCTCAGAGGTGGGTAGAAGGTGGACCCAAGGGATGGTGCTCAGAGGTGGGTAGGAGGTGGATACAAGGGGTGGTAGGAAAGGGAGTGTTCCTGCACCAATTTCTCGGAGGAAAAAAAAAAATAATTTTGATGGCTACACACTGAGACCCCCCCCATCCCCACCCCCAACAAAGGGGATAACAAAAATCTATATGAACTGCATCCTATCCAGAGGACGGAGAAGCTGGGTTATATGCGAGGACAATGAAAAATGTACAAATCTGTGAAAGGAATAACATTTAAAAATTTTTTTTTTTTTATTTAAAAGGAATTTAGGAAACCGTAATAAGAAGATGTAGAATATGTAAAAGATGGACAGTCGAATGAACATAACCATGAAATTTCTATACAAAAAAAATTTCCCACCCGGAACCAATTTCTCCGAATCAAAGCCCGGCGACTTACTTCATTTTCACTCTTGTACTTGATCTCATATTTCAGGATTAATGCATTCGGATTGGGTGGCTCCTCCCACTTCATAAAGATGGTGTTGTGTCCAGCAGAATGCCATGATATATTACCAGCAATGTTGTCGGCATGAGCTAGAGAGGGAAAAATGTGGTTAGCGGTCTAGCGATATTCTGTGGACATGTCTAGTTCACCATACCGAAGAAGAAGAAAAAAAGAAAGAACCCCCCCCACCAAAAAACCCCCCCCCAAAATAAATAGATCATTATTTTCCCACTTAGCCACATTTACCCCATTCCTGCCCAGGCCAATTTTCAGCGCTCTCGCACTGTGAATGACAATTATGCGGTCATGCAACACTGTACCCAAAAGAAATTTGTATCACCATTTTGAGACATATAGAGCTTTCTTCTGGTGATATTTACTCACTACTTTTTTTTTTTTGCTTTTTGCTAAACAAACGAAAAAAAAGACCAAAAAATTTGAAAAAAAAATATAATAAAATTTTTTCCCCTATGTTTCTGTTATAAAATTTTGCAAACAGGCAATTTTTTGGCTGCACCCCATGGACGCGTGCTGGGGGCCGCAACCACGGACGCGTGCTGGGGGCCGCACCCACGGACGCATGCTGGGCAGGTTTGCTGTTAAAAAACATGGGGCCCCATACAGCTGACCTGACAGGACCTCCTCCAAAAAAAATAAAAAAAATTTCCCTAAGTTTTTGTTATAAAATTTAGCAAACAGGTAATTTTTCTCCTGCAACAATGGACGCTGCTAGGGCTGCACCCACGGACGCTGCTGGGCAGGGCTGCTGTTAAAAACCATGGGGCCCCATACAGCTGACCTGACAGGGCCCCCTCCAAAAAAGAAAAAGGTTTACAATACTTCAGTTATGAATGAACACAGTGAGTGATCGGTACCGTTCATTCCTTACCAGACCCTTCCTCCACTCTCCATCCTGAAAGATCCTATTGTGTGCTTGAAGCTGCCGAAGGGAAGCAGAGGAGGGAAGCCAGCAGCACTGGAGGGAGATGGGACCGGGGGGGGGGGGGGGGGGGGTAATTACTGGAACCGATTCCCTGTACGGCTATCTCTGTAGAAACTGGGAGGGAGAGGAGAAGAATCGATTCCAGTAACCCCCCCCCCCCACATGCCTTGCAGATCATCCTCCCTGCCCACATCCAATTCATCTAGCTGCCTGGGCCCCCCTGCTGGCCTGGGCCCCGTACAGGATGACTGGTGGTACCCCCTTATCTACAGCCCTGCTGCTGGGGGGGGTGCCCCCATGGACACGTGCTGGGGGCTGCAGCCATGTCCTCTGATGTGTGAATACAGTTGACAATTACTGGTTCTCCTGTCTCCACGTTATAACAATGTAAGGAAAGTGCAGCTGATAACTGGTAATGGGACTGCTACATCTCAGCAGAGAGGATCCAGTTCTTCTGACAGCAGAGGATCATGGGACCTGTAGTCATATAACCTATAAATTATGCATTTCTGAGTGCTGATTGAACTACAACTAACAGGCCATAGTAAATACAATAGCTTTTCTACATGTATAAAATATGTGGTCCTGCCATGGGTGCAATCAACAGGCCTATTAATGGGCTGTGATCAATTTAATCCATCAATGAACCCATGTAAATAAGGTGGGGTATGCAGACCTACAGCACTGCTTTTTATTGCAAAACAATACCTACAGCATACCTCTGAACAGTCTGAAAATGATTAAGAGACACACCTTTTAGCACACAGTATGTAGGCATGTACCTACCATGGCCTCATTTACATAACCCGCAAAGATTTAATATGCGGAAAATGATAAGCGCAACCCAACAAATGACTTTTCTATCACCGTTTTCTATTTTTTTTTTCAAAATAACAAAAATTTAGTAATATAGGAGGTTGGATTTAAAAAAATGTAGTAACAATTTTGCAAGTAAAATAGTATATTTTATATAGGGAGGTATACATCAGACCCAAAAAAAATTTAAAAAAAAAAAAGAAGGAAGAAGGACAACCAAGGCTGCATGAGGGAAGGGAGAATTAAATTTTTCAACAAAAGCATAGTCCCTCCAAATATCAGTTGGGAGTTATGTCTATAGGTATTTGATAACTGTCTAATTTTGGCCAGATCGGATGGTCATCCTCATATCTATGAGCAGAAAGACGACCAGCAAGCTGCTATATTCACCCCTAGCTGACCAACCTCAGTAAGGGCTCGTTCACACTTGACTGTTTTACCAACTCTTGCCAAATGCCTCTATAGCGTTTGGCAAGCGTTGGTCCAGCGTTTGTGAAGCGTTTTTTAACGCTACGCGCATGCGCAGGTCAGTGGCGGTTGCTAGACGTTTGCCGAGCATTAAAAACGCCCCACAAACGCCTATAATGAAGTTTGAAATGGTGTTACCGCTCTGCAAACGCCCCGCAACCGCACCATAGGCTAGAATAGGAGGCTTCAATGCCTCCTGACTCGACCAGAGGCGTCGTCCGTTTTGCCACGCCGCGACGCTACCGCTCCCGTTAGATCAGCACCATGTGCTGCAATGGGCAGAATTGTCCGATGCGTTTGGGAAGAGGTAAAAATGCTTCCCAAATGCCTTTTTGCCGCTTGAAAACAAGGCTAGTGTGAACATAGCCTAAGTGTCTCCATGAGCCATGATGATATTTTTAATTTATTTATTTTTTAGTGATACATATAGCCATCTTGCAAAGGCATCATTTATACTGTTTTAACTCAGAGCCACCTGTTTATTTTAAATGGCCCATGAAGGATTTTTGGTAAAAATCCCCAAAACAAACCTCAAGGTCCCTTAAATGACTGTAATGAGTGGAGGAGTCCTTGGTACTTAAGTTGCAAGTAATCAAATTATAATATATAAAATTTATCATTTTTTTATACCAATATATTGGTCAGGGGAGTTCTAATCAGATTTTTATCTTTTTGATTATTTACCATGAAGAGTTTTCACACACACAAAAAACAAAAAAAACTTTATATATATATATATATTTTTTTTTTTCATAACAAAATGATTGTATAATGTGAAATATTATATCTTGTATTAATTTTAATTAACATACTATTTCACATTATACAAATTTGATATGGAAAAACATTTGTATATTTTTAAATTATATATCTTATTAATTTTAATTAACATTACTGATAAAAAAAAAAAAAAATTACTTACGGTCTGGCATTGTTCTAGCAAATACAAAAGTTGCAGCGCTGCACCCAACCGTGTCTGCTGCGTGGTTGCAGGCGTGGATGTCGATCCGATATTCTGTGAAATGTCTGAGGTTAGATAGGACCATTCTTTCACGGACGATCTTATCCTTATAGGTGTAAGGCTTGAAATCTGTGCCTGTGTTGTTGATGGTGTGACTGACGGTTCCTTCTGAGAATGAAGCATTTCCTTGACCATCTCCATTCAACCCAATTACATCTCTTCTCTTTTTAGGAGACCTGCAAAGACCAAAAAGGACATTTACCATTCCTGCAGTTATTACGACTGTATGTAGTTATCAGTAGGTCAGGTTAATTTTTGTATTTTACATTGAAAGACGATATAATATAGAGTATTTACAAAAATCAAAACAGTCCTATTCCAGTTAGGTCCCGAATTAATAAGCATAGGTTTTAAAGGGCCCCCTTCCCCAGGGCTTAGTAAAAGTATAATAAAGTCTATACTGAACTATTAGGAATGAAGAAGCCTAGGAAGCAAGTACATAAAATCACTTCATATGCAGGTTTAGGCAGCCAAACACCACCAAACCAACCACCACCACCTTCTATACTTTGTGCAATGCCAAGTAAGCAGCTAGTGTAGTCCAAACTCCTGGCCTGCATACCACCAACAGCCAACCAACCACCAGAACATTATATATACTTTGCGCAATGTCAAGTATGCAGCAAGTGTAGACCAAACTCTTGGCTTGCATACCACCACCAACAGCCACCACAGCCTTCTATATTTTGTGTAATGCCAAATAAGCAGCCAGTGTAGTCTGAATGCCTGGCCTACATACCATCAGACAACCAACAACCACCACAACCTTCTATACTTTGTGCAGTGTCAAGTAAGCAGCCAGTGTAGTCTGAACTCCTGGTCTACATGCCATCAACAGACAACCAACCACAACCACATTATAGACTTTGTGCAGTGTCAAGTATGCAGCATGTGTAACTAAACATTTGGCCTGCATACCACCAACAACCACCAATGCCTTCTATACTTCGTGCAATGCCCAAATAAGCAGCCAATGTAGTCCAGTGTCAAGTAAGCAGCAAGTGTAGACTACACTCTTGGCCCTGCATACCACCAACAACAAACCAACTAACCACCAACAACCACCACAGCCTTCTATACTTTGTGCAATGCCAAATAAGCAGCCAGTGTAGTCCGAACTCCTGGCCTGAATACCACCAACAGCCAACCAACCAACCACCACATCATTATATACTTTTGCACATTGTCAAGTAAGCAGCAAGTATAGAGTAAAACACTTGGCCTGCATACCACCACCAAATTCATAACCAAACAACCACCACAACCTTCTATACTTTGTGCAATGACAAATAAGCAGCCTTCTATACTTTGGTCTACATTTGCTGCTTACTTGACACTGCACAAAGTATAGACGGTTGTGGTGGCTGTTGGCGGTATGCAGGCCAAGAGTTTGGTCTACATTTGCTGCTTACTTGACACTGCACAAACTCTTGGCCTGCATACCACCAACAACCACCACAACCTTCTATACTTTGTGTAATGCCAAATAAGTAGCAGGTGTAGACCAAACTCTTGGCCTGCATACCACCACCAGCAAAACCAACTAACCACCAACAACCACCCCTCCTTCTATACTTTGTGCAACCCCAAGTAAGCAGCCAGTGTAGTCCGAACTCCTGGCCTGAATACCACCAAAACAAGCCAACCAACCAAACCACCACAGCATTATATACTTTTGCGCATTGTCAAGTAAGCAATAAGTGTAGACTAAAAACACTTGGCCTGCACCAACACCACCACCAAATTCATAACCAACAACCACAACAACCTTCTATACTTTGTGCAATGCCAAAATAAGCAGCCAGTGTAGTCTGAACTCCTGGCCTACATACCATCAACAGACAACCAACCACCACCACAACCTTCTATACTTCGTGCAATGCCAAATAAGAAGCCAGTGTAGTCAAAAACAAAACCCTACATACCATAATAGACAACCAACCCAACCAACCACCACCACAACCTTCTATACTTTGGTCAAACATTTGCTGCTTACTTGACACTGCACAAAGTATAAAAGGCTGTGGTGGTTGTTGGTGGTTAGTTGATTGTTGGTGGTGGTATGCAGACCCAGAGTTTGGTCTACACCTGCTACTTATTTGGCATTGCAAAAAGTATAGAAGGCTGTGGTGGCTGTTGGTGGTATGCAGGCCAAGAGTTTTTGGTCTACATTTGCTGCTTACTTGACACTGCACACACTCTTGGCCTGCATACCACCAACAACCACCACAACCTTCTATACTTTGTGTAATGCCAAATAAGTACAGGTGTAAAGACCAAACTCTTGGCCTGCATACCACCAACAACAAACCAACTAACCACCAACAACCACCACAGCCTTCTAGACTTTGTGCAATGCCAAATAAGCAGCCAGTATAGTCCGAACTCCTGGTCTGAATACCACCAACAGCCAACCAACCACCACATCATTATATACTTTCACACATTGTCAAGTAAGCAGCAAGTGTAGACTAAAAACACTTGGCCTGCATACCACCACCAAATTCATAACCAACAACCACCACCACAACCTTCTATACTTTGTGCAATGCCAAATAAGCAGCCTTCTATACTTTGGTCTACATTTGCTGCTTACTTGACACTGCACAAACTCTTGGCCTGCATACCACCAACAACCACCACAGCCTTCTATACTGTGTGTAATGCCAAATAAGTAGCAGGTGTAGACCAAACTCTTGGCCTGCATACCACCACCAACAATCAACTAACCACCACAACCTTCTATACTTTGTGCAGTGTCAAGTAAGCAGCAAGTGTAGACCAAACTCTTGGCCTGCATACCACCACCAGCTAACCACCACCAGCCACCACAACCTTCTATACTTTGTGTAATGCCAAATAAGCAGCCAGTGTAATCCAAACTCCTGGCCTGCATACCATTTTGGACTCTGCAACTCAAGGGATTAAGGTCAGGTGGCCAGGATTTTCAGAAGCATACCAGCAATAACTCCCTCTGTATACCGCTTATAAATTCCTGTTTGGACGTCTTTTATGGTGTTCAGTAATGACTACTTCTAGGAACCTATGAGAACATTTGAAATTGTATCTTCAGCATACGTGCTCTTCTCATCTTTAGTATGCTATAACCAGGTAGGCCTGAACTTGTAGAAAAAAGGCTCATCTACCATGATGTACCAAGAGCCTATTCCTTTCCTTTCCTACTCTGCTCAGCGTCATCCCAGGATGGAGAGGACGAAGCAGGCACAACATAATAATTAATACAAATTAGAATTCACATGATATTAACTTCTCTATTAATGGATGGGAATCAAATCTCTTGCCTCAGCTTGCACAGACCTCTCCACAACAACTGAAGGGGTCAACATTGATTTATATAAAAGGCAACCTAGCTTACCTTTGTTTATTCTTGTTGATTAAAGTCACCTTCCAAGGAGGCCTATAAAAAAAGGTGTGTAAAGTAGTTACATCACAAACCTGGGTTAATACAAAGTACATATTAAAACAAATCCTGTAAAAAGTTGACCCATCACCTACTGCCTCCACACTGGCCGCTCATCACATTAAAAAGGAAAACTAGGGAAAATTAAAAAAAAGGACAGATAAGGTGATAGTCTTAGGGTCATGCCACACCAGCAAAACTGTCCCTGGTGCCAATTCACCAGCAGAAGGGTCACAATGCAGAGCAAATGCTCACCTACTTCCTCCCTAACTGTTTGAATGCGGAAACTGTTGCTCCCTTGCTTACGAAATGGTTACAAGATAGAGGTCACCTATCAGTGGTGGCTTCTCACCCGGACAACTGGTGGACCATCATGGAGTAGTTACCTTGTTCTGCACAAAAATTCTGTTGCTAGAAAATTGAGACTTTCTGCCCTAGGGCAGAAGCGTTATCACCCTTGGGGGCCTGTCATCCAATTCAGACTACAGGTAGACGGGTCCAAACTAAACCCAAGCAGCTGCTGTCCCAACTCATCACTGGGGGACAAGCAACCGCACATAAGGCACTGGTGCAGAAAGCCACTGCTTCACGGAAGAAAAAAAAAATTATATTAAAAAAATTATCTATTTCTAAAAAATATATTATTTATATAGAAAAAATATATATATAAAAAAAAGTATATGGGAGCAGCTTACTATTCAATATTAAAACACTAGGCAAAACATTTTTGAATAGGGTTTGAAAATACTTAAATAAAACTCAGGAAATCCTAATTTAGTTTGATTGGAAATAGGACAGCTGGAATACTTACTTTGGAATGAAAATGGTGTTCCTTAAAAAGTTCTCAAACTTTTTCTGAAAGAATTCCTCATCCAGGTCTAGTAGCTGGCCACCATTTTTTTGGCATGGGCAACACCTATCCTCCGAATCCATGTTGTCATCATCATCACTGTCAAACCTGGTATCGGCACTGCTAGTTGGAAGCTTCAGACCTGTGTAAAGTAGATGAGGAAAATCTTAATAGAAACATTCAAGTGTATATTGCTGTGCTGCCTCTGGCGGTTATATGGAAAAAAGCAATACGGTACATATACACTCACCGGCCTTTTAAGTTGGTACACCTGTTCAATTGCTTGGTAACAAATTGCTAATCAGCCAATAACATGGCAGAAACTCAAAGCATTTAGGCATCTAGAAGTGGTAAAGATGACTTGCTGAAGTTCAACCCAAGCATCAGAATGGGGTAGAAAGGGGTTTTAAGTGACTTTAAACATGGCATGGTCGCTGGTGCCAGACGGGCTGGTCTGGGTATTTAAAAAACTGATCTGCTGGGATTTTCACGCACAACCATCTCTAATGGTCCAAAATGGTCCAAAAAAGAGAAAAATGCCTTGTTGATGTCAGGAATCATAAACCAGGCGGAGACAAAGTGCAGTTAAAATAAAAAACATTAAAAAAATTATACCTTTAATGACATAGAAAATATAACCGATCAGGAACATGATGGATGCCAGAGCAGGTAATCAGACGAGCCAGTGTCAGGAAACCAGAAAGGAGGAAATGAGCCAAGCCGCTAAAATAGCAAAAAGGGTTGGCTGTGGGCTGGACTAACGAAGTAGGTAATGGAATCCAAGTGGGTCACTGTGGAGTGGCTGGAAATTAGCCGACAGCTTAGCAGCTTCTGAGCACAAACAAAAGAGCTGCTCGTTAAGTAGCAGGAGCCCAGCCCTGACAAGAGGTCAGAGGAGTTTGGGTAGACTGGTTCGAGATGATATTGGAAAAAAAACTTTGCCTGGTACGAGTCTTGATTTCAGCTGCGACATTCAGATGGTAAGGTCAGAATTTGAAGTAAACAAAAGCATGGATCCATCCCTGCTTTGTATCAACGGCTCAGTCTGGTGGTGGTGTAATGGTGTGGGGGATATTTTCTTTGCACAATTTGGGCCCCTTAGTACCAAATGAGCATCGTTTAAATGACACGGCCTAAGTATTGTTGCCGACCATGTCCATCCCTTTAGGACTCCCAGTTCCCCATCTTTGGATGGCTCCTTCCAGCAGGATGTCGTCACAAACCTCAAATCATCTCAAACTGGCTTCTTGAACATGACAATGAGGTCACTGTACTCCAATGGCCTCCACAGTCACCAGATCTCCATCCAATAGGGCACCTTTGGGATGTGGTGGAATGGGAGTTTTGCATCATGGATGTGCAGCCAAGAAATCTGCAGCAACTGCATGATGCCATCATGTTAATATGGACCAAAAACTCTGAGGAATGTTTCCAACACCTTGCTGAATCTATGCCAGTGGTTCTCAACCTTCCTAATGCTGCGACCCTTTAATACAGTTCCTCATGTTGTGGTGACCCCCAACCATAAAATTATTTACCCAGTAATTATAATTCATGAAGTATCGTTTTGCCTTCAATACTGCTGCTTTCTACACTGTAGCTGCTTTCTACACTGTAGCCGCTTTCTACACACTAGCTGCTTTCTACACACTAGCTGCTCTTTACACATCGGAAATGTGTTTTCAGATGGTCTTAGGCGACCCCTGTGAAAGGGTCCTTCGACTCCCAAAGGGGTCGCGACCCAAAGGTTGAGAACTACTGATCTATGCCATGAAGAGGTAAGGCAGTTCTGAAGGCAAAAGGGGGTCCAACCCGGTACTAGTAAGGTGGATCTAAGAAAAAAAGTGGCTGGTGAGTGTATATCCTATGCTATTTTACTAAGTTACTAAGTCAATAATTTATAAATGTGCTGCCACTTTGCAGTCATTGGTTTAATTACACAATTATAGGGAGGATACACAAAAAATTCTTTCCTTATGACGAGTTCCTATATTCCTGCAAGCCGCACATGGAAGCTAGGAACGAAATATTCCTTTTGACCTTCAAAATACTGCAAATGCCAAAATGGACTACACATTGGGGTGGATTTACTAAAACTGGTGCAGCTCTGCATGGTAGCCAATTGGCTTCTAAAGTCAGCTTGTTCATTTAAGCATGAGCAATGAAACCTGGAAGCCGATTGGTTTCTATGCAGAGTTGCACCAGATTTTGTACTTTCCAGTTTTTAGCTTGTTACCCAGCTTAAAAGTTTGTCCAACTATTCTGCATGCAATAAAGACATGTTTAAGTGTTTGGGGAGTTCAGCTATCTGATGCAGATTGTCTACAATGATGGTCTCCGCCATATTAAGGGCAGGCATAGAGTTCTCAGGAAGGGATTCTGTAGGTGACAACTGCAACAGCCAGAATGAAATCTTACCAGTCCTTCAAAATGGTGGCTACATTAGTGGTCTTAAAGGCTTTCATATGTTTTCAACTGAAGATCTTACCAGAAACACACCTACTTGTCCCGTGGTGACAACGCTCACACTCATTGCACTGTATGGATGGAGAAGTAGGGTTGGCACCATAGCACAGAGGCAAGATACTAGCAGGATCATCCGATGAAAATATGGCAAAACAAGCCTATGCAAGAACTGAAGAACCCCACCCCTCTAAGTAGATGTGTGTTCTGTAGTCCACAGAAAGACCAGGGTTACAAGATTTCTATCATGATCAACGAGTTTTTGGGGTTTTATTAGCAGTTTTTTAATTGTTGAACAGATAAATATACTGTCTTTTTTTTTTTTTTTTTTTTTAACAGACCAAAAAGAAAGCAGATTAAAAGTTCATTATTATGGCTTCCATTTACTTTAGGAAAAAAAAACACAGACAGGCCATTGTTGAGTTTTCACTCACACCATCTCTATTCTGTAATGTCCCAATACCACCAATGCCAGCCACTGGAACCATAATTTCTTTTTTCCGATGACAAAAGGTGTGCAGTAGAGTTGATATCTCTGGAGGGTCTCTAACATTGGAACACAATTTGGCATTGCTGAAGATTGATCAAAGCAGTGGGAATTGCAAGTCAATGTTTCTAAATGTAAAATAAGGCACCAAGGGGAAAAAAAAAAAAAAACCGCTTGACAGTACAGTATTGGAGGTACAGTTTCCCAGCATTACTGAGGAAGAAATATTTGGGGTACTTATTTCAAAATGATTGCAAAAATCAGCAAACCGTGTGACCAGGAAGTGGAAGAAGCCAATACGATTCTAGGATACGTCATTAGAAAGGTCACCAGCATGATGAAGCACTAGAGGGATCATCATCAGGATGAAGTAGGTCCCGATTCTTCTATATATAGATCTTTATTATTAGAGGGGTCACCAGCAGGAGGAAGAAGGTCCCAACTCCTCTATATAGATCTTTTATATCATTAGAGGGATCACCAGGAGGTCCCGATTCCGCTATATAGATCTTTATCACTAGAGGGGTCACCAGCAGGAGGAAGGAGGTCCTCATTCCTCTATATAGATCTTTATCACTAGAGGGGTCACCAGCAGGAGGAAGAAGGTCCTTATTCCTCTATATAGATCTTTATCACTAGAGGGGTCACCAGCAGGAGGAAGAAGGTCCAAACTCCTCTATATAACTCTTTAGATCACTAGAGGGATCACCAGGAGGTCCTGACTCCTCTATATAGATATTTATATCAATAGAGGGGTCACCAGCAGGAGGAAGAAGGTCCTCATTCCTCTATATAGATCTTTATCACTAGAGGGATCACCAGCAAGAGGAAGAAGATCCCAACTCCTCGATATAGATCTTTATATCACTAGAGGGATAACCAGGAGGTCCCGATTCCTCTATATAGATCTTTGTATCAATAGAGGGGTCACCAGCAGGAGGAAGGAGGTCCAGATTCCTGTATATAGATCTTTATCACTAAAGGGATCACCAGCAAGAGGAAGAAGATCCCAACTCCTCGATATAGATCTTTATATCACTAGAGGGATAACCAGGAGGTCCCGATTCCTCTATATAGATCTTTGTATCAATAGAGGGGTCACCAGCAGGAGGAAGAAGGTCCTCATTCCTCTATATAGATATTTATATTAATAGAGGGGTCACCAGCAGGAGGAAGAAGGTCCTCATTCCTCTATATAGATATTTATATTAATAGAGGGGTCACCAGCAGGAGGAAGAAGGTCCTCATTCCTCTATATAGATATTTATATCAATAGAGGGGTCACCAGCAGGAGGAAGAAGGTCCTCATTCCTCTATATAGATCTTTATCACTAAAGGGGTCACCAGCAGGAGGAAGGAGGTCCAGATTCCTGTATATAGATCTTTATCACTAGAGGGGTCACCAGCAGTAGGAAGAAGGTCCCAACTCCTCTATACAGATCTTTATATCAATAGAGGGGTCACCAGCAGGAGGAAGGAAGTCCTGGTTCATAATATAAATGTACATTTATCTTTTTTTTTTTTTTTTAAACCTCACTTAGAATACGGTGTCCATTTCTTGCCACCTCACTTACAAAAAGATATTGATAAAGACAGACTGGGTCTACAGACTGGCAACAAAAATAGGGTACAAAAAAATAAACCGAATTGGCACTAGGAAGGAACCACAAGTACGAAGATTCTAATGTGAGTGTATAAAGCAAATAAAAAGGTAACATATAAAAGGCATAAAGTCCATAAAAATCCAAAAAGGTCTTAGGTAGGGTATGATAGGCGAAGGCAGATCCCCATAGAGTGAACCAGTACTCTGCAGGAAATAAAACCGAACAGAAGGGGGCGCCCCCTTCTGTTTTAACATGAGGCATTGCAATATTTTTTTTCAGGTCTCTAAAATCTAGGTGCGTCTTATGGAGCAATAAAATACAGAATATACTCAGACAAAAAAAAAAAAGTTAAAGAGCTGGGACAGGCTCGATGGACCACCTGGTCTTTTTCTGCCGTCACTCTTAGGTTTCTAATGCCATGAAAACCTGCATATTATATGAAGGGTCGGACTCAATTATCGAAGGTTGACACAAGCCTAGCCTTTCAGTAATTTTTTGCATGTGCCTCTGGGCTGGTTTTTCCCAGTACAGCCGATGGTTGTTGGGGGGGAAAAAAAAAAAAAAAAAAGAAGAGAAATCACTGCCCCTGGACTTGTTCCTGCACCTTTGCGTTCATCAATGCCACTGTGTCCCCCAAATGTAGAGAGGTGCAGTTGGGGCAGTGCCCAGGATAGGATTCCTTTCCTTGCAGCAGGAACGAGTCCTTACAGTACAGATGGAACAGCATTTGTTTTTTTCTTGCTAGCATAAATTTTAATTTGCTCCCCTGCACGTTCCAATGCCCACATGATAACTTTGCATCGGGGCCAAGATTAATTATCATTATTGTGTTTTGAAAATAACAGTCTTTGTAGCTGTTGAACTTTGAGACACAACAGCCACCATTGACCGTATTCCCAGAATTTCTATTCTTTAATGTTTCAAAAGAGCTGAAGATAAAATGAACGAGCCACCACTACTTACGCAAGCAGTTTTTGTGAATCACAGCAATGACGATACTGTGATTGTGATGAGAAAATTAAAACCATTACTTTTTTTTTGTAAGTCCAAAACTTCAAACTTCACGTGTTTACTGTGCCATTGTCACTTTGTGGAAAATATTGTGCAAACTAAAAATGTTACAAAAGGATAGGAAATCTGAGTTGCTTTGGTTATGGAAGTTTCAGTGCATGGTTAAAGGGTGAAGCCAAGTCCTGCCCACTTAAAAATTCTTTTAAAGAGTAGGTTGGATGTCTGAAATTGTTTGCAAATCCACTCGACAAAATTTGTATCATCCTCCTAATGTTGGGAGGTCTCGTTTTTAGTTACATAGTTAGTCTGGCTGAATAAAAAAAAACCCCCAAAAAAAAACCCCCAAAAAAAAAAAAGGAGGAAGAAGGAGACAAAAGTCCATTTGGATTAGAATATCACAGCTAAACACATTGGTGGCAACTGTATTACTTCCTCTTTGCATCGCCCTTTCAAACATACCATCTGGGTACTACCTGTACTATTACTTCTACTAATACTACTGTAGATGATTGAACATCAAAAAAGGTAAAAACACCTTGTGTGCAGCCCCCTTACAGGACTGTCTTATTAAATGAGAACACTTGGGCACATCCAAGGAGCCCCAGATGCATGGTGGGCCCCATGATCAAGGCCATGACATGGGACAGGGAGGGGGGGGTGCACTGGCGTTTTGGCCACTCCTGATACTCCTCTAACAGGTGTAACTGCAATGTCACTACTGTGAGAAAGCTGGTTTCTGATGGAGAGAAGATTCAAACTTCCTCCTCCCTCCTGCAAGGGGTAGAAGAGACCCAGCGATCAGACTGAACTCCCCTCAGTCTCATTGTGAAGGAGAAAGAAGCTGTCATCATTGCAGGTGGGGGCATTTGTGATCTGTGAATACAATAGGGGGGGGGGGGGGGGGGGGGGGGGGGGGGGGGGGGGGGGGGGGAAACTCTGATGCAAGGGGGCTCCGCGATGGCGAGGACACCTGAGGCAAGGGGGCTCCGCGATGGCGAGGACACCTGAGGCAAGGGGGCTCCGCGATGGCGAGGACACCTGAGGCAAGGGGGCTCCGCGATGGCGAGGACACCTGAGGCAAGGGGGCTCCGCGATGGCGAGGACACCTGAGGCAAGGGGGCTCCGCGATGGCGAGGACACCGGAGGCAAGGGGGCTCCGCGATGGCGAGGACACCTGGAGGCAAGGGGGCTCCGCGATGGCGAGGACACCTGAGGCAAGGGGGCTCCGCGATGGCGAGGACACCTGAGGCAAGGGGGCTCCGCGGTGAGGACACCTGATGCAAGGGGGCTCTGTGATGGGGCCCCAGTGCATTACTTTGCTCAGGGGCCCATGATGCTATTAAGAAAGCACTGCCCCCTTATTCTTGCCTGAGAGCCCAATCTCAATTCTGTGCTGTGCCCGAGAGCAGAGTCCCCCTCTCCCCCACCCCCTATATCTAGACCTAGATCAAGATCTAGACAGTCATTAGCTCCTGCTGCCATCAATTACAGCCAGTGAGGGGACTTCAGAAGAGGATTACCATTACAAAGAGCAGAAGGATGACTTGTGTTGTTTTTTTAAGTTTTTCCTTTAAAATCACTTCAGGAACATTTCTTTAAATACCGATATCTTACATTGAGTTTGAACTAGTCTAATTTATCACTCAAATGCGGATAATGTTGGTTATGTGTTAGAGAAGACACTGGTAGCTTGTGATGAGGCAGAATTCTATTTTACTTGTGTGGCTTAAGTTACAAATATACAGAGCACATTTCAGCAGACAGTGATAGCAGAGAGAGAGAGAGGAAGAGAGAACCAACAAGTTTTACACATATGCACAACTAGTAACCTTTAGTTCCATCTACTGGTCAAGTGATATTAACATACAATACTATATATAGTACATTATAGTACATGCTGTTGCATTCCCAACAGATAATCCCTCTAACCAACCTTTGGTGCAGTAGTCATTATGGTACAGCTCCTCATCTTCTGCCAACTGTTGCCAAAGCACCAGGTAGTAGCTGAGATTTCCATTGCGTTGAGTTGGAGGCTTCCAGCGGACAATCAGATGGGATGATGTGTTTGACATGATCAAAACATCCTGGGGAACAGTTGGGGCTGCAATAAAGAAGTGGAAAAAATGCTAATAATTTTAAGTCTATAAAAAGGGAAACAAACTTTTTTTCCTAGCTTTATGCATACATGCTTACTTGTTATGGCAAACAACCCAAAAAAGGAACCCATTGGAGTTTTACTAATCTGACTTAAGTCAAGTGAAATACGATGAGTGCCATGGGTTGCCTCACTATGAACAATCTTGATCTTTACATATTACTGAAATCATATCAATGCCGTAACACTGCCCATTCTGCGCATCTGAAAACGTTAAAGCTTGGATCTGACACCCTATCAGAAATAGAAGTACCTGAAATAAATAAATCGAAACTCCTGGAACCAGTGTGTAAGCACCTTTAAAATGCTCCTTCCCACTTGGAGAAGGTTGGGAGTTTAGGCAAGACCAGAGAGGAAGGTGGGTCAGAGGAGAGGAAGAAGCAACATTTAGGTGCTGTGCTCCTGCTCTTCCCGCTCTGGAAGGAATAGAGAGGGGGCAGGGTGCCCCAGGGGCCCATTCATAGACCTAGAGAGAAAAAGAGCTTCAACGGGTGTTAATGCTTAGAGCAGTGGTTCTCAACCTATGGGTCGCGACCCTTTTGGGGGTCGAACGACCCTTTTACAGGGATCCCCTAAGACCATCAGAAAACACATATTTCCGATGTGTAAAGAGCAGCTACTGTGTAGAAAGCAGCTGCTGTGTTGAAAGCAGCTACTCTGTTAAAAGCAGCTACTGTGTTGAAAGCAGCAGTATTGGAGGTAAAACGACACTCATGAATTATAATTACTGGGTAAATAATTTTATGGTTGGGGGTCACCACAACATGAGGAACTGTATTAAAGGGTCACGGCATTAGGAAGGTTGAGAACCACTGGCTTAGAGGAAGGCCTAAGGAGTTTACCCCTTGGTTCCTTCCCCTCCCTATCCCAGGAAGAGAAGAAGGAGGAGTAGTGAAGCTATAGGGAGTGAGCTCAATAGGGAGTCCCCCCCTAAGAGAAGAGACTGAAGGGCCCAGATCAAATGTTCCCGACATGCTACCTTGAATCCGTAATGAATAAGCGCTGTCTTGAGCGTGAAACGTGTTTACCTGCCAGTCCCCCACTGTACTTCCACTGTCTGTATTGGTTTTATCCTGGTTCAATAAAGTGGATTGTTTGGAGTGCAGCCGATTGGACTTCCTTTGTTTTAATCTATGCAGCACACAAGCTGAGCTAGCGCCTACAAGAGGAGTTGTGCTTGGAGACTGGGAGCCTCTCTAATTGAGCAGCGGTAAACCTATATGCCTTGAATGTGTGTTGGGTTCTGCGACCAGAGAGTGCTATATCATTCGAGGTTTTACAGTAAAATGACTATTACAACCAGCCTCGGTGTGCCTTTGTTTAGTCACGAATGCAGCTTTGAAAAGGAGTGCAAGTTTCCTGATATCATGCCTGAGAGAGGTAGGCCAGCATCTGGAACCCCTAGGAGTGAAGAGCAGCACAGCCAAGATGGTGGAGAGGAGGTCTGGTCTCAAGCCACTAGCCATACTGTCAGGAATGGATTCACCACTGGTGGTGGGACTCACCTGCCGTGTGGGCTGCAGTACCAGGGCTGGCCAGCGGGTGCTCTCAGCAACCAGAAGCTCACTCCTGCAGTCAGCCATCAGCTGAAGCTGATTGCAGGAGGTGTATTTAAGCAGGACCAGGCCTGTGATCAGGGCCTTGGTGTATGTTTCCCATGAGCCCCTGTACCTGGTATCCTGTGTTCCTGCCTATCTGCCTAGTTGCTGACCCTGCTTTGATCCTGACCTCAGCTGACCGTCTCCTGTTGAACCCCTGGCTTGCCTGACCACCCTTCTGCCTGATCCTCTGTACCGCGCTGCCCGTGAGTTACTGAACCCAGCTTGTGACCCTGACTAGTCTCTGCCTGCTCCTCCGGTACCTCACTGCCCGCACATTGCTGACCTGGCCTGCCTGACGCTACCCAGACGATCCATCCATCCCGCACGGATCCAGTCACTACTGTCAAAACCTGCCAGCCCCTTCACATCAGGCTTTTCCCCCGGTACATACCCTCGGCAGACCCCTCTACCACAGTTGGGTGCACTCAGGGGCCGCGACCTGGTCTCAGCCCTGCGCCAAGTCCATCCCCACCATCAGGGGCTCTGGTGAAAAGGCAGACTGGGGCTCAGACTCTACGCCCTGGGGAATCCTGGTCTGTGGGTCACGAGAGATCCCACCGGGCAGTGCCTGACAGTACCTTACGGCCCGCCTGACCATTCCACCTCTCCAGCCCTGACTACGCCTGTGTTCCTGAGCCTGCTACTTTCCTGTGTCAGTCCACACATTTCTGGCCATACCCGGATCCTTAACACATACATCAGGGAGAGTCGTTGGGTAAAAAGTGTTATGTTGCCCAGAAGGTCAGTTGCATTGAGGGTAGGCTAGGCTGCTCGTTATGGCCATGAGTGAGGCAACCCACCACCTGCTAACAAGGAAGAGTTGTGAACAGTAGCCATTTCTCACCTTACATTAAACATGCTGTGTTTTGCAACAGCCTCATTGATTACAGTAAATCCAGTTATCACTAAAAAGGTGAAAACAAGTCCCCGGTCCCACACATCCGTTCCTACCATCAGCCTACTATGGACAACTCTCCAAAAGTTACAAAAAAAATTAAAGCCAATTTTCGGTGGACAGTGCCTTCAACTTTCTGGCATCTACTAAAGGCTGTGTTGTCATTTTTCAGTCTACAGGTCATTTAAAAGTAATACTACACATAAAAAACAAAAAACTAGGACTCACACCATAACTCCTCTACACAAAATTTGATTAAAACCCAAGATAGGCAACTCTATAGTATTCATGTTTTCACTTTTATGGATGTTAAGTTGACAGGAGAACAGAGAGGGTGTCAGGGCTCCGGGGTGTGACCAGAGGTATGTGACTGACGCAGGGAAACGCAGGCTTCAGATAAGTTATAAACAATATAATTTATTAAAGACTAACAATACAAACATAAACGCAGTGCAATACTAAAACATAACAGTGCAAACGAACCAAACCAACCACAGATAACAGTACATACAATGCAAGCGTCGTCAGGCAGGCCGGGTCAATAACAATCGGGCAGGTAGGTACAGGGGGTCAGGCAGAGAATGGTCGGGGTCACAAGCCAGGGATGAAACAGGAGAAGTCAGCAGAGGTCCGGATCAGGCAGGGTCAGCAACGAATCAGTCAGACAGGGACAGGAACAGGAACAGGGATGCAGGTAACAAGATACAGGGCCCAGGAAAAACACACACCAAGGCAGAGACTGCAGGTCTGGCCATCCCTTAAATACACCTGCATGATCAGCTTCAGGTGTTTGGCTGGCTGCAGGGTTGAGTCTCTGATTGCCGGGAGCACCCGCTGGCCAGCCCTGGTACTGCAGCCCACAAGGCAAGTGAGTCCCACCATTACTGGCAACCATTCCTGACAGAGGGCCTTTCACTTGGCTTAAACAGAACCAGTCACAACTCATCTTATACAATTTTAATAGTTAATTCTCATCGCCGAGCAAAATTAAAGTCCCCTTCCCAAAAAGTCATCCAGTGTAACCTAGGGGGGTGGTTGCCATCATCCCTGTTTTTCTCAAAGAGATTTATATCTTACATTTGGTGGGATTTTTCAGGCAACCTTAGAATATAAGTAAACCAAACAATTTTTTAAAAGAGTTTTGGCATCTTATTGACACATCAAATACATATTTCCCCAATAAAACAATTTTTGACAGCGTGTTAGCATGACAATACTTATATTATTGCCTTGAAAATTAGCCCTTAGCTCCAAACAAACATTGAGCAAAAGGGTTTTTCCTTTAATCACTTCCAGTCCGGACACTTTCACCCCCTTCCTGTCCGGACACTTTTACCCCCTTCCTGACCAGGGCAATTTTCAGCTTTCAGCGCGATCACACTTTAAATGACAATTGCGCGGTCATGCAACACCAAATTAATTTTTTACCATTTTTTTGAGACAGATAAAGCTTTATTTTGGTGGTATTTATTCACCGCTGGGATTTTTAATTTTTTTGCTATGTAAATGGAAAAGTCCCAAAATTTTGAAAAAAAAGTGTTTTTTTTTATAAAATTTTGCAAATAAATAATATTCCATCATAAATCTTGGCCAAAATTTGTTCCGTTATCTTTTTAGTAAAAAAAAAAAAAAAATCCAAATTAGTTTAACCAAAAATTATCATTTTTAAACATTTTGTTTTACATTTTTATATTATTTTTTATTTTTATTTTTTTACATACTGTCACCCTAGCAGTACAGTGTCACCATGGTGACACTGTACTACTTGTGGGGGGTGATGAATTTTTTTTTTTTTTTTACACTGATTGCTTTTACACCCATATAGGATGTATAAGCAATCATTTCTCTTTCTCTCTGTCTGCATTCTTGCACTCATTGAGAAGTACTGAGTGAGCTGTGATTGGTCACAGCTTGTCACATGGGAGAAGGCGGTTGTGAATAGCCTTGTACCATGTGACCTCTGTGATCATTCACAGATTTCACACGTAGTAAGCAATGATGTCACAAGTGACTTCTTGCTTACTACTTTGCATGTGATCACTGATTGGCCAATCAGTGATCACATGATCGGGACCTCGTACAGAGGTCCCGTCCGACGATCGGTGTTTCACTGTGTCCGGAGGACACAGCGGGCACAGGATCGTGGTGCTGCGCGCTCCCAGGGAGCGCGCACAAGCAGGGTGCGGGGAGGCCGTTTATAAACGGCCACCCGACCCTGCAGTGCCACCGTCCGGCCGTTTATATGCAACGGCCAGTCAGGAAGTGGTTAAAAGAACAAAAAACAAAACAAAACAAAAAACACAAAGCATTGCAGCTCTTCTGGGGATGGAGACCAGTTATTCCATCCTGGGCCTGCTGCCAGTCTTCTAGTTGACCCTCAAATTCATTTGATCATGCTAATGCAGTCTACTGGAACCCAAGAGGATTCCACCCTCTGGCCAACCCTTGGGAAGTGTCTATGTCCTCCTGCCAGTGACGTGGTCACCTACTCTACTGCCCAGTGACCACTAACTAAAAATAGGTAATTAAGAGCTTTCTTTTTAGAATTGTGGCATTGATTTGATTTGGGGAGTGTACTAAAATTTTTGGGGGTGCCTGGTCACAGTACAGCTCATGGGCGGACTGACCATTTGGAGGGCCTGGGGTCAGTAGGGGGCCCCATGAGATGCCCCTGGTACCTTTTTCATAGGCTTTTTTGAGTTTGGACAAGGACACAGGGGCCCCATGATCCCCTATTGCCCGGGGGCCCCATGAGTTGCCAGTCTGCCCCTGGTACAGCTTAGGTGATCCAAAAAAGCACAGGCTTTCCTATGAGAATGAGATTTACCCCTTATTTGTAAAATTGTGCAGAATGGCATTCAATCACTTTCACTGTGAACATTACATAAAATTCAATAATGTTCTTTAGGGAGTTGGTTACCTGCCGGCTTCGTTCGAATGTAGACCACGTCACTTTGTGCTCCGAAGTTCCTCCCTTCCTCAGCAGTGGTGAGAGTGATAGCCCGGACATATATGGCATACTGGGTCCATGGTTTCAGGTTCATCAGTGTAATGCTTGGTTCTTGTTCGTTGTTTAAAGGCAGCTCTACATCTACCACGTTCCAGCTGTTGGCTCCACAGGCATCTTGGCCCAGGTGCTCGGTTATGTTCTGAAAGGGACTAAACAAAAAGCAATGGATAAAGTTTTCTTGGGAATTGAATGCGACAAACCTGACATGACTGGCTGGAATCCATTACAGGACAATAAAATGTAACACCAATCCACTTATGAAGGAAAGAACATTCCTCAACTCTGGTCTTCAAGATCATGCAAGGGAAAGTATCTGGCAATCGCGGTTATTTTTGGTCAACATCATCAAATACCTGAGCATGGGAAAAAAAAAGTCCTAATTTGATCTCCCTCAAGCAGGATTTTTCCAGTGCCCATGTATAAGATTACATTCCCTTAATTATGAAGATTCTGCTTCTATTTGGTCTTCAACTGACTATTCTATGGCTTAAAAAAAAAAAAAAAAAAAAAAACAAATACCTGACTTTTTTGTATGGTGTAATCATCAACTATCATTCGCCTGAAATGATAAAATGGCAACATGAATTTTATTTTTAGACCAAGTGGATCAAGAAGGTATTTTAAAGGGTCTTACTAAAAGGGTATCAAATAGAGCTACAGTTGGTTTACCAACAAAAAAAAAGAAAAAAAAAAGGAAAAAAAAAAAAAAGGAAAGAAAAAAAAAAAAAAAAAAAAGAAAAAAAAAAAGAAAAAAAAAGGAAAAAAAAAAAGGAAAGAAGAAAAAAAAAAAAAAAAAAAAAAAAAAAAAGAAAAAAGGAGAGAGAGAAAAAAAAAAAAAAAGAAGACGCAAATTCACTTTGTTAAAGGCCAGACTTACACTGTTCCATGTGCATGTAGCAAGCATGGTAATGCAAATGTGTGAATGGGCCCATAGAGTTTTCCTTTGTGCCACACTAAACAGCAGCACATAGATGTGAACCAACCACATGGGAAAGAATAGGAATTCTACTTTTACTTACTGCATTTTCTTGCAGTAAAATGCAAGATTTTCTGCATCAGAATGACAATGTGAATAGAGCCTCAGACTTTAAAAGGAATAGACTATGGCCATTGGAAGTAGAAATTGAGCCAGTATCAGAAGTCAGTAGAAGTAAACAATGCCTCAAGCTTGGTGGCCGCTGAAAAAAAAAAAAAAAAAAAAAAAAAAAAAAAAAAAAAAAAATTTACCTAGCAAGAGGAATATTACCCCATTGTTGGGCGTCCGCGCAAAGAAATGGCGTCCCGGTGGTGGGCGTCCGCGCAAGGAATAGCGACCCAGTGGTGGGCGTCCGCGCAAGGAATAGCGACCCAGTGGTGGGCGTCCGCGCAAGGAATAGCGACCCAGTGGTGGGCGTCCGCGCAAGGAATAGCGACCCAGTGGTGGGCGTCCGCGCAAGGAATAGCGACCCAGTGGTGGGCGTCCGCGCACGGAATAGCGACCCAGTGGTGGGCGTCCGCGCACGGAATAGCGACCCAGTGGTGGGCGTCCCCGCGCACGGAAATCCCAGTGGTGGGCGTCCGCCCAGTGGTGGGCGTCCGCGCACGGAATAGCGTCCCGTCCCAGTGCGTGGGGCGTCCGCGCACGGAATAGCGTCCCAGTGGTGGGCGTCCGCGCACGGAATAGCGTCCCGCACGGAATAGCGTCCCAGTGGTGGGCGTCCGCGCACGGAATAGCGTCCCAGTGGTGGGGTGGCGTCCCGCGCGCGCACGGAATAGCGTCCCAGTGGTGGGCGTCCGCGCACGGAATAGCGTCCCAGTGGTGGGCGTCCGCGCACGGAATAGCGTCCCAGTGGTGGGCGTCCGCGCACGGAATAGCGTCCCAGTGGTGGGCGTCCGCGCACGGAATAGCGTCCCAGTGGTGGGCGTCCGCGCACGGAATAGCGTCCCAGTGGTGGGCGTCCGCGCACGGAATAGCGTCCCAGTGGTGGGCGTCCGCGCACGGAATAGCGTCCCAGTGGTGGGCGTCCGCGCACGGAATAGCGTCCCAGTGGTGGGCGTCCGCGCACGGAATAGCGTCCCAGTGGTGGGCGTCCGCGCACGGAATAGCGTCCCAGTGGTGGGCGTCCGCGCACGGAATAGCGTCCCAGTGGTGGGCGTCCGCGCACGGAATAGCGTCCCAGAATGGTCCCAGTGGGGGCGTCCGCGCACGGAATAGCGTCCCAGTGGTGGGCGTCCGCGCACGGAATAGCGTCCCAGTGGTGGGCGTCCGCGCACGGAATAGCGTCCCAGTGGTGGGCGTCCGCGCACGGAATAGCGTCCCAGTGGTGGGCGTCCGCGCACGGAATAGCGTCCCAGTGGTGGGCGTCCGCGCACGGAATAGCGTCCCAGTGGTGGGCGGGCGTAGCGTCCCCGTCCGCGCACGGAATAGCGTCCCAGTGGTGGGCGTCCGCGCACGGAATAGCGTCCCAGTGGTGGGCGTCCGCGCACGGAATAGCGTCCCAGTGGTGGGCGTCCCAGTGGTGGGCGTCCGCGCACGGAATAGCGTCCCAGTGGTGGGCGTCCGCGCACGGAATAGCGTCCCAGTGGTGGGCGTCCGCGCACGGAATAGCGTCCCAGTGGTGGGCGTCCGCGCACGGAATAGGTCCCAGTGGTGGGCGTCGCCACGGAATAGCGTCCCAGTGGTGGGCGTCCGCGCACGGAATAGCGTCCCAGTGGTGGGCGCCGCGCACGGACGGAATAGCGTCCCAGTGGTGGTCCGCGCACGGAATAGCGTCCCGCACGGAATAGCGTCCCAGTGGTGGGCGTCCGCGCACGGAATAGCGTCCCAGTGGTGGGCGTCCGCGCACGGAATAGCGTCCCAGTGGTGGGCGTCCGCGCACGGAATAGCGTCCCAGTGGTGGGCGTCCGCGCACGGAATAGCGTCCCAGTGGTGGGCGTCCGCGCACGGAATAGCGTCCCAGTGGTGGGCGTCCCGCGCACGGAATAGCGTCCCAGTGGTGGGCGTCCGCGCACGGAATAGCGTCCCAGTGGTGGGCACGTCCCGTGGTGGGCGTCCGCACGGAATAGCGTCCCAGTGGTGGGAATAGCGTCCCCCGGGCGTCCGCGCGGAAATAGCGTCCCAGTGTGTGGTCCGCGCACGGCGTCCCAGTGGTGGGCGCGCACGGAATAGCGTCCCAGTGGTGTCCGCGCACGGAAATAGCGTCCCAGTGGTGGGCGTCCGCGCACGGGCGTGGGCGTCCGCGCACGGAATAGCGTCCCAGTGGTGGGCGTCCGCGCACGGAATAGCGTCCCAGTGGTGGGCGTCCGCGCACGGAATAGCGTCCCAGTGGTGGGCGTCCGCGCACGGAATAGCGTCCCAGTGGTGGGCGTCCGCGCACGGAATAGCGTCCCAGTGGTGGGCGTCCGCGCACGGAATAGCGTCCCAGTGGTGGGCGTCCGCGCACGGAATAGCGTCCCAGTGGTGGGCGTCCGCGCACGGAATAGCGTCCCAGTGGTGGGCGTCCGTGGGCGTCCGCGCACGGAATAGCGTCCCAGTGGTGGGCGTCCGCGCACGGAATAGCGTCCCAGTGGTGGGCGTCCACGCACGGAATAGCGTCCCAGTGGTGGGCGTCCCGCACGGAATAGCGTCCCAGTGGTGGGCCCAGTGGTGGAGGGGCAGCGCGCACGGAATAGCGTCCCAGTGGTGGGCGCGTCCCAGTAGCGTCCCAGTGGTGGGCGTCCGCGCACGGAATAGCGTCCCAGTGGTGGGCGGCGTCCGCGCACGGAATAGCGTCCCAGTGGTGGTCCGCGCGTAGCGTCCCAGTGGTGGGCGTCCGCGCGAATAGCGTCCCAGTGGGAATAGCGCGTCGCGCACGGAATAGCGTCCCAGTGGGGCGTAGCCCGCGCACGGAATAGCGTCCCAGTGGTGGGCGTCCGCGCACGGAATAGGTGGGCGTCCGCGCACATAGCGTCCCAGTGGTGGGCGTCCGCGCACGGAATAGCGTCCCAGTGTGGTGGGCGTCCGCGTCGTCCCAGTGTGGTGGGCGTCCGCGCACGGAATAGCGTCCCAGTGGTGGGCGTCCGCGCACGGAATAGCGTCCCGTGGGCGTCCGCGCACGGAATAGCGTCCCAGTGGTGGGCGTCCGCGCACGGAATAGCGTCCCAGTGGTGGGCGTCCGCGCACGGAATAGCGTCCGCGCACGGAATAGCGTCCCAGTGGTGGGCGTCCGCGCACGAATAGCGTCCCAGTGGTGGGCGCGCGGAATAGCGTCCCAGTGGTGGGCGTCCGCGCACGGAATAGCGTCCCAGTGGTGGGCGTCCGCGCGCGTCCCGGAATAGCGTCCCAGTGGTGGGCGTCCGCGCGCACGGAATAGCGTCCCAGTGGTGGGCGTCCGCGCACGGAATAATAGCGTCCCACGGTGTCCCAGTGGGGCGTCCGCGCACGGAATAGCGTCCCAGTGGTGGGCGTCCGCGCACGGAATAGCGTCCCAGTGGTGGGCGTCCGCGCACGGAATAGTGGGCGTCCAGTGGTGGGCGTCCGCGCACGGAATAGCGTCCCGTGGGCGTCCGCGCACCAGCGTCCCAGGTGGTGGGCGTCCGCGCACGGAATATAGCGTCCCGCGCAGAATAGCGGTGGTGGGCGTCCCCGCGCACGGAATAGCGTCCGCACAGTGGTAGCGGGTAGCGTCCCCGCGCACGGAATAGCGTCCCAGTGGTGGGCGTCCGCGCACGGGAATAGCGTCCCCGCGCACGGAATAGCGTCCCAGTGGTGGGCGTCCGCGCACGGAATAGCGTCCCAGTGCAGGGCGTCCGCGCACGGAATAGCGTCCCAGTGGTGGGCGTCCGCGCACGGAATAGCGTCCCCGCGCACGGAATAGCGTCCCAGTGGTGGGCGTCCGCGCACGGAATAGCGTCCCAGTGGTGGGGCGTCCGCGCACGGAATAGCGTCCAGTGGTGGTGGGCGTCCGCGCACGGAATAGCGTCCCAGTGGTGGGCGTCCGCGCACGGAATAGCGTCCCAGTGGTGGGCGTCCGCGCACGGAATAGCGTCCCCGTCGCGCGCACGGAATAGCGTCCCAGTGGTGGGCGTCCGCGCACGGAATAGCGTCCCAGTGGTGGGCGTCCGCGCACGGAATAGCGTCCCAGTGGTGGGCGTCCGCGCACGGAATAGCGTCCCAGTGGTGGGCGTCCGCGCACGGAATAGCGTCCCAGTGGTGGGCGTCCGCGCACGGAATAGCGTCCCAGTGGTGGGCGTCGGAATAGCGTCCCGCACGGAATAGCGTCCCAGTGGTGGGCGTCCGCGCACGGAATAGCGTCCCAGTGGTGGGCGTCCGCGCACGAATATAGCGTCCCAGTCCCAGTGGTGGGCGTCCGCGCACGGAATAGCGTCCCAGTGGTGGGCGTCCGCGCAAGGAATAGCGTCCCAGTGGTGGGGTCCGGGCGTCCCGCGTCCGCGCAAGGAATAGCGTCCCAGTGGTGGTCCCAGTGGTGGGCGTCCGCGCAAGGAATAGCGTCCCAGTGGTGGGCGTCCGCGCAAGGAATAGCATCCCAGTGGTGGGCGTCCGCGGAAGGAATAGTCCCGTCCGCGCAAGGAATAGCGTCCCAGCTTTGTTAGCGGTCAGAGGAAGGAATAGCTTGGCATTGTTGGCTATCAGAGGAACTCCCATGTTGGTGTCAGTGGAAGGAATTGTACATTAGTGTTGGTGTCAGTGCGACAAATTGTACCCATCTTTTGCGTCATTAGGCAGAATTATTTTCCATCATTTGTGTCAGAAGGACAAGGCCTAAACAAAAAGGTCCACATCTGGCCAACAAGCTGCAGTGAAGGGACCACTGACAGATGATGCAAGTTTTAAAATTTGGGCCTAGGCTGCCATTATTATGTGTCAATGGTGGTCCCATTACATTAAAGTTATTGGAAAGTAAGCTTTGAGCTTCATCACCCTATCTAAAGCCAGCCATAGACCGTTCGAAATTTTGCCGGTTTAGCAGGAACCAGACAAATTTTAATCCATCTATGGGCCAGCTAGTTGTACTGAAGTTGATCAATCAATAAATTTCAAGGACTCTTACCAGGAGCATGTGGACTCTCTTTTGGACAGAAAAAAAAAAAGGAGTTGGAAAGGTATACGTTTAAATCATCTGTAATGGATCTCATAACTCCTCACCATCTCCATGTATAGCCATCAGGAATACCAGGTACAAAATCTCCTCCATACCTCTCCTCAAAATCAACAAAATACATCCAATAGTGCCATCTCAGAAGCCGATCTACGTGTGGTAACCAGCATGATGCTGCCATGAGCGTAAGCTCCGCCCTATGTATTTAATCACAAATGAGGTCTTCTGGGGCACAAATTTGTGATGAAATGCTTAGGGCGGAGCCTACGCTCATCATGATGGTTACTACAAGGAAACAGTCCAGATCGGCTCCTGGGACCTCACTATTGGGTGCTTTCCCAAAGCAGATTGAAAAATTATTGTAATGACTGACTACAAACAACTTACAATACAACAAAATGAAATATTTTAAATGTTTACATTAGGAAAAAAAAAAATACATAAATTTAAAAAAAAAAAAAAAAAAAAAAAAAACTACAAAAAAGAGAAATTTCATATAGGGAAATTGAATGACTAAAGTAGAGAAACTCTCTTCAAAACTTACGATTCTTTGTAGTGAACAATGAAGCTCAGCAAGTCGCGAGGTTCTGGCGTCCTATATCTTTCCCACTTTAGGAAGATGCGGTCGGATTCGGTTACGTTGGCGACAAACTTCAGTACATGAGAGTTACCTAGGATTAAAATGGTCTGGTTGGACAATGGTATTGAAAGAAAAGATTGAACACAACTGAGGCAGATTAGATTCAAAGACTGCACCAGTTTGGGGTTTCTGCTCCAATTACAGGTTTAAAGTGGATCTAAACCCCAAAAAAAAAAATAAATTAAGAAATTGCAGCTTACCAGTCCTTAGATGTGGTGACTACATTAGTTTTCTTTTGTTCATTGGAATTTAAACTGGTATCCATAAATTGGCACTTCCTTTTCCTGGCTACACTAGCTCAATCCACTATCTATGAAGGGAGTGTAGTGCCCCCAGGGGCGGACTGACAACTCATGGGGCCCCTGGGCAATAGGGGATCATGGGGCCCCTGTGTCCTTGCCCAAACTCAAAAAAGCGTATGAAAAAAAAAAGGTACCAGGGGCATCTCATGGTGCCCCATACTGACCCCGGGTCCTCGGGCAGTGCCAGAGTTTCCAAATGGTCAGCCCGCCCCTGAGTGCCCCTCTACTTAGCCAGGGGGGCTAGCAAAGCTTTTTTAGTTAGAGGCTGGATAGCAGCCTGGGATGAGTCAGCCAGGTTACTTTAGGTCAGGGCTGAGAGCTCTGCAGGGCAGTTCCCCGATACCTCCCCTGGCTCTAGAAGCTTGAGACATTTCTAGAAAGTAATGAGTGGGGGTGAGGAGGGGCTGATCTTAATTCTCAAGGGACCCTTTCAGAGTAGGATTCCACAAACACAAAAATCACTTGATTTTGAACAGATCGTACTGTAGTAAAAATAAAAAAAAAATAAAAAAAGGAAGAAAGAAGGAAGGAAAAAAAAAAAAAAAGGAGGGCAGGAAGGTGGGACCTGACTTACAGGAAGCTCGATCTCCATTGGTGCGTGGATTGATATCTGCTTTGTTCTGTCTCCCTTTGGTTCCCGTTAGGTCCTCCGTATGATAAATTTGCGACAGGCACAGTTTAGGGTTGAAAGCAAAGTACAGCTTCCCAACAGGGATGGAAAGGCTCTCATGGTTGGGATCCCAGAGCTGCTGAAGATTCTGGTTGTCCAAAACATACAGGGTATAATTCCTGAGGGAGAATGAAAACAACTGTGAATGGCTAGAATGAAACAAAAAAAAGGAGATATTTCTTATTAACCAACTGGTACAAATTTGGTTAAAAGCCTTATTTACAATGACACAGATTGGGACGATATTTTTATAAAAATGCAAATCAGTTCCCCCAAGCTCTCAGACTGCCTTGCACAGATATACATCCTGCACAGATCTTATCCAACTCCAATTGTATCTCCGAATATCGACCCATGCATAGCCCACAATGACCAAATGTGTTTACAAGCACCTAACACCTTCCACCATCTCCTATGGACCGGTGCTAAAATCCAAGGGTTCTGGATTCAGGTGGTGCAGTTCCTTCATAGCCAGATGGGTTCTCCACTGACTCTACATCCCGAAAAAGGTCTACTGGGGCTCTTCCCCGACCATGACAAATACATGATTAAGTTCCCACAGAAGACCCTTTTTACTGCAAGGAAATTGATAGCGCTCAACTGGAAAAAAGCCCTCCCTCCTAGGTTGCAACCCTGGATAGCATACATCAGTTGTACCCTTCCATACAAGGAACTAATTTATAGTCACAGGGCTGCCCCTCTAACTATAGCCAAATTTGGGTTGCAACATTCCAATACCTAGATAGGATAGTTCTCCCATTTATGAAACTGGGCCAAGGTTTCTTAGGAGATACCTCCTTTATTTATACCTAGCTGGTTCCATACATGGCATCTTTCACCCGCTATACACAGGTGTCACTGCCTTTATTATGATTTCTATTTCCTAGGTTATACACTGTCATTTTAATGCTATTAGCCACAAATTTTCTCATGAGCACACCTTTCTGATTGATACTACCTCCAACTATGGTATGTATTGATTGTCCTTCAAGCAGGGGCGGACTGACCATTTGGAAACTCAGTCACTGCCCGAGGGCCCGGGGTCAGTAGGAGGCCCCATGAGATGCCCCTGGTACCTTTTTCATAGGCTTTTTTGAGTTTGGGCAAGGACACAGGGGCCCCACACTCAGACCACACCCAAAAAAGCACATTTAAAAAAAAGGTACTAGGGGCATCTCATGGGGCCCCCTACTAACTCTGGGCCATCGGGCAGTGCCCGAGTACTCGAATGGTCAGTCCGCCCCTGGTTGAATCATGAACAGGGGCGGACTGACCATTTGGAAACTTGGGCACTGCCCGAGGGCCCGGGGTCAGTAGGGGACCCCATGAGATGCCCCTGGTACCTTTTTCATAGGCTTTTTTGAGTTTGGGCAAGGACACAGGGGCCCCATGATCCCCTATTGCCCGGGAGCCCCATGAGTTGTCAGTCTGCCCCTGCCTTCAAGTGACCTTTAGTCCTTTTGGACCATTCTTTCTACATATTGTGTAGATCCCACCTATTCTTTTCTACGGGATTTGTTTTCCTCCGTACAACTTCCTTTTGTTCCTCTCAAAGGATATGCTTGTTTTCAAAGTGAAAAGCATTATCTGCAAAAATAATGTCCTCTCATTTACTCTTCCCTCAAAAACGAATTGCAATCTCTGTAGATTAATATACAAAAAGCTCAAATTGGTCATTTATGTTTACAAAGAACCCAAGATCAAATTTTGCCTCCACAACTAGAAAAGAAGGACTTAGAAACACTACAAAAAAATAAATAAAAATAATGGACTGGAATTTCACAAAAAATGATCATAGAAAAAGGGGAGTGAAGCTTCCTCTGAATTTGGACTGAAGTTCATGCGCAGCTAGACGTGGTCAGGGCAGCAAGGTCAAATTTGCATGTTGACTACGGGCTGGAAAGCATGATATGTCTGTATAGGGAGAAAGCTTTCAGGTCTGCCAAAAAAAAAAAAAGATAAAATAATTGTTTTTTTCTTACCCATCTACCATGGAGTCTCCTCTGATGAGTTTCAGGTTTTTAAAAAATGAGAGCGAGACCAGAGCAAAGGAGTGCTTGATTTTTAAGAAGCCCGTTATTGTCTCAATATGACCCAAACTTCTGCGAAGCTCTAAAGCTAGGTTATCTGTAATAAAACATATAGTATTGGAAATGTGTTAATTTATTTTAAAATTACACAGGCGCACACACACAAAAAAAAAATGGCTACTTTCGGCAGGGCCATATTTGGCAAGAAGCAAAGTGGGAATGAGCTAGAGTTTGAAGGGATTACAAAACTGAACCAGAAGGAATTCAATTCATCCAGTTTTACCAAAAACAAAGCGTGGAAGTATGAAGCAAGACAAGTAATTCTAGAGAATGGGGACAAGGACAGGAAAAATGGAAGCATTGCCTTAGTGAACCCCAATCTTCAGTATGCTCTGGCCAACCCAACGACTGTGGTCCCAAGTATCATTTTGGAGTCTGATTGTACAAGAATTGGCTGACACGTGACACTACGGACTTCTACTGTACTTTGCAAGGTGGTCCAGTAGAGGGCCAGTCATTTTACAAAGAACCTTAGATATGTCATAGGCAGGGACGGACTGACCATCTGGAAACTCAGGCACTGCCCAAGGGCCAGAGGTCAGTAGGGGGTCCCATGAGATGCCCCTGGTACCTTTTTCATAGGCTTTTTTGAGTTTGGGCCAGGACACAGGGGCCCCATGATTCCCTATTGCCCGGGGGCCCCATGAGTTATCAGTCCGCCCCTGGTCATAGGTTCCATCAGTCATATAGTCATAAGGTCATTGTTACATTCTTAAGGAGATTATGCTTTGTAAAATTAGTTTGTCTTCTCTAGTTGAGTCAACTTTGAAAATATATAGTTCTGAAAAGCATACACATCAGGCAATCTCGCTTGATACACCAAATAAGATCAGATTTTAGGTTTGTAAGGATCTAGGATCAACACTTTCTCCAAAATTGATCCAGTGTTCTGTTTTTGCCGTTTTGGTTTTTTGGTCTATGTTCAATGACCTTGGTTTACATATCCTACATATAGCCCAGATTACTTATGTAGCACCCTCTTAGTTAACTAGAGGGAGCTAGCTAATTTTTTTTTTTTTCTAAGATAGGAGGCAGGGAAGCAGCCTGGGTGATAGTCAGAGGGGTCAAAATTTGGGTCAGGGCTGAGAGGCTCTGCAGATAAGCTCACCGATACCTCCCCCTGAAATAGAGACTTGGAGAAGTCTCTAGAATTCAAATGGGTGGGGGTGAGGAGGAGCTGAGGAGGAGCTGGCCTGTACACTTGAGGGATCCTGGCCAATCCCCAGGCAGAAGGTTTGGCATGGGGTCAAGACAGCCCTTAAGAGTGACTGAGCCTACTCATAGGCAGGAGGGTTTGGGTAGAAGATAGGAGGCATGCTAAGATGCAGAAGCCTGGGAGAGGGCTCAGTGGGAAGGGGTCTACCTCCAGGCAGATTTGCAGGAAAGGAGGATCACTCCACTATGGGGGGGGGGGGGTTCCCATGGGAGAGGACTCCCTGCGCAGCAGGGAAGGAGCCAGCCCAGCAGAAAGCCTGAAGGCAGCCACCAACCCAGCAACCTTACAGGAGAGGAACAGCGAGTAATCCTACACCCCCTGGGCCTGTTAAGGGGAAAAGGACATTCTGGTAAAAACCCTGACTAGCTCCTTACCTGGGACTGTTTCAACTTAAAGTGGCAGACACTGGATCCCCTTGCCCAGGGATTTCCTCCAGATAGCTGAAGAAGAGGATTCATTTGGGGTCTGGAGTGGTATACTAGGAGAGGCTGAAGAGCTCTCCAAGAAAGACCTTTTTGCTGTAAAAAGACTTGTACCTAGTCACCAGGAAGTTGTCCTCCATTTACGGTTTCTTGGGAATCCCATACATCCCATACCTCATTCAAGTTCAATACCCCTAATAAAATTTAAAGCCAACTCACTTCCTCTGCGGATGTTGAAGATCAGGCTTCCTTCAATGTGCGTGCAGCCAGTCAGTTCTTTTGCGGTCTGAATGGAATCTATGGCTTTGGTTCCTACTTTGCACACTTTGGGACAGAGGCCTTCACACTTGTGGCACACAATGCTGCAACAGAACCACACCATTATTTCTAGAACAATCTAAAATCCAAGGCACTAAATCACCCAAATCATTGAAAAACAAAAAAGTACAGGCGACCTCGGTTTACGAATGCCTCGGTTAACGTAATTTTCGGTTTACGAATGAAAATCCATTAAAAATAATGCTTCGGTTTACAAATTTTTTTTTTGCAATACGAATGGATTAATTGGTTTTGAATGCATTTACAAATTTTTTTTTACTCATATCCCTGTACAGTATTTATGCCTTTAGCCACTTCCAGTCCGGACACTTTTACCCCCTTCCTGTCCAGGGCAATTATCAGCTTTCAGTGCTATCACACTTTGAATGACAATTGTGCGGTCATGCAATACTGTATCCATATGAATTTTTTACCATTTTTTTGAGACAGATAAAGCTTTATTTTGGTGGTATTTATTCACCGCCGGGATTTTTATTTTTTTTGCTATGTAAATGAAAAAGTCTAAAAAGTTTGAAAAAAAGTGTTTTTTTCTTATAAAATTTTGCAAATAAATAATCTGTCATCATAAATCTTGGCCAAAATGTATTCGGTTATCTTTTCAGTAAAAAAAAAATAAGCCAAATTAGTTTATAACCAAAAATTATAAATTTTTAAACTTACATTTTTATATTATTTATGTTTTTTTTTTTTACATACTGTCCCCCTAGCAGTACAGTGTCACCATGGTGACACTGTACCACTTGTGGGGGTGTAATGATTTTTTTTTTTTTTACAGTGATTGCTTTTACACCCATATAGGATGTAAAAGCAATCATTTCTCTTTCTGTCTGCATTTTTGCAGCCATTGAGAACTACTGAGTGAGCTGTGATTGGTCACAACTTGTCACATGGTACAAGGCTGTTGTGAATAGCCCTGTACCATGTGACCTCTGTGATCATTCACAGATTTCACACGTAGTAAGCAATGATGTCACAAGTGACATCTTTCTTACTACTTTGCATGTGATCACTGATTGGCCAGTCCGTGATCACATGATCGGGAGAGGTCCCGTCCAACAATCAGTGTTTCACACAGCGGGCACCGGATCGCAGTGCTGCACGCTCCCAGGGAGCGCGCACAGCTAGTAATGGCGGGTGCCGTTTATGAACGGCAACCCGCCCCTGGAGTGCCAACATCCTGCCATTTATAAACAGCAGGCGGACGGCAAGTGGTTAAACTGCACTTTATAAAGAGTTTTGAACAGAGAAGACTTTTTTTTTTTTACTTTTTTCTGACCTCCGGAATGGATTAATTGGTTTTCAATGCATTTACAAATTGTTTTATTTAATCATGTCCCTGTACAGTATTTGTACCTTTAAAGTGCACTTTAAAGAGTTTAAAAACACATAAAACTTTTTTTCTTTTTACTTTTTTTGACCTCCGGAACGGATTAATTGGTTTTCAATGCATTCCTATAAGAAACTGCATTTCGGTTTACGAATTTTTCGCAATACAAAAAGTCCCGCAGAAGGAATTAAATCCATAAATCGAGGTACGCCTGTACAAAGAAACCTTTATGCTGCATCTAAATACAGTAAAATGGTGAGGAATGTGTGTGTGTGAGAGATCGTGTTTGGTAGCGCACTAAGGGATGAAAGGACTAATCCCATGATGCAATAAATACCAGACCATTCACAAAACCATAAGATAGGTTAAATGAAAAGTCAGCGGGAAAAAAAATGGAAACTATTAAATCGCCACACACCAATGTAGAAATTTCAAAACCAAAAAATTCAAGGTCAACCAATCTAAAATATGCTAGTTAATCTTCCTAGGAAGGTCATGAGAAAGAAAGCCCCGGCTAAAATGGTTTACGTCATCTTTATATGGGTTTTGGTAAATAACGGATGCACCGAACTGTCCGTTTGTAAAATTATTCGAACGTTATTCTGAATCTAGTAGGGAGGGGATAGTGGTACAGGAGGAGATAGCTGTTGGGGATGGAGTGGTAGGAAGAGTGGAGGAGGTCGGCAGGTTAGCAGGGGGTGGGGTAGGCTTCCCTGAAGAGATGGGTTTTCAGGGTGCGCCTAAAGGAGAGGAGATCGTATGTACTCTCCAGCGCCTCAGGATATGCACAGCCAAAAGGGAAGCCAAGGGTACCAGGACAGCGACAACCAAAGGAAATGTTCCAGGGGTGCAGCCCTCCTCAGACGGGGAAATCAGCCACTGGATAGAGAGAAAACAGGTGGCGCACACACCTAGTGCATTATCCAAGGTTTATTGTAGGAATGAAATATAATAAAAACATACTCACAGACGAAGCATGTATCTAAAAAGCATAGAAAAATGACAATGGCCACAACGGCGGGCAAGGTGTTCTCACTGTCAGTGCGGTCAAATGCTGATGCGTTTCGGGGACGAATCCCTTTCCTCAGAGCTGATGAAAAACCTCTGATGCTGATGTATGGTGTATGGACAGAAAGAGCCTCGCTGTTGATGCCTCTGAGGAAAGGGATTCGTCCCCGAAACACGTCAGACATTTGACCGCACTGACAGTGAGAACACCTTGCCCGCCGTTGTGGCCATTGTCATTTTTCTATGCTTTTTAGATACATGCTTCGTCTGTGAGTATGTTTTTATTATTTCATTCCTACAATAAACCTTGGATAATGCACTAGGTGTGTGAGCCACCTGTTTTCTCTCTAAAGGAGAGGAGAGTAGGTGATAATCTGATGGGTTGGGGCAGGGAGTTCCAGAGGATGGGTGACACCCTGGAGAAGTCCTGGAGGCGGGCATGGGAGGAGGAGACTAGGGAACTAGAGAGAAGGAGGTCTTGTGAGCAGCGGAGTGTGCGTGTTGGGCGGTACTTGAATATTAGGTCAGTGATGTAGTTCGGGGCAGTATGGTGGACAGCATTGTACGTCAGTGTTAGGATTTTGAATTTGATCCGTTGTGCAATTGGAAGCCAGTGGAGGGATTGGCAGAGGGGGGTGGCGGAAACGGAGCGGTTGGAAAGGTGAATGAGTCTGGCAGCCGTATTCAGGATGGACTGAAGTGGGGATAGCCTGTGGTGAGGCAGGCCAGTGAGGAGGGAGTTGCAGTAGTCGAGTCGTGATATGATGAGGGAGTAGATGAGCTGTTTAGTGGTTTCTGGGGTTAGGAACGTGCGGATTTGATTGAATTGATTTGGCTAGATCTAGTTGGCATTTAGCAGAGGTCCAGTATCAGCATCCAGTCTTCCTATCCTGGCACAGTCTAGGCATATCAGCAAAGTCTACTACTACTAGACCAACAAGGGAATGTATAAAAAAAAAAAAAGACAAGAAAATGTATTAGGAGGACAACATGTGTCTAATGAAACAAAAATGTGTCCATTTTTCTCCTTTTCTTACTTTTATTTAAATATACTAACCTGCTCTCATTCCTGGTGTATCCTGGTGGACACTCTGAAAGACACAGATTCTCATAAAGGACAAATTTGGAAGACTCCCGAGGGTTCTCCGAGATTTTCCGCAGACTGGCGCAGTACTCTGCTGTGATGCAACGCCAGCCCTCATACTCATAGGTGTTAGACGGACATGAAGCCAAGCATTGGCCTTTGAAGAAAAAATTTCGACATGCCACACAGGCCCGGCTGTCTCCAGGCTTACTACATCCTCCCAGACATTCACTGTGGCAACAGTCCCCAGAACTGGAACAGGCAATCTCCTTGCCACAATCACACACTGAAATGGAAAGGAGAAAAGTTAAAAAAGGTATTTTCTTGAGTTCTTTACACATGTTGAGACATCAGGCAGAATTACATATCACACATATTAGTTGAATCCAGGGGTGGACTGAGATCTCATGGGGCCCCCGTGCAATAGGGGATCATGGGGCCCCTGTGTTCTCACCCACATTCAAAAAAGCATATAAAAAAGGTACTAGGGGCATCTCATGGGGCCCCCTACTAACTCTGGGCCCTCGGGCAGTGCCAGAGTTTCCAAATGGTCAGTCCGCCCCTGTTCATGGTTCAACCAGGGGCGGACTGACCATTCGAGCACTCGGGTACTGCCCGAGGGCCCTGGGCCAGTAGGGGGCCCCATGAGATGCCCCTGGTACCTTTTTCATAGGCTTTTTTGAGTTTGGGCAAGGACACAGGGGCCCCATGATCCCCTATTGCCTGGGGGCCCCATGAGTTGTCAGTCTGCCCCTGATCATGAACATCTGTAGTCAATTGAACTGAGGAGGAACAGCATACATGTTGGAGTGGTCCTCTCTGGTATTTCTCTTGTGCAGCTCGATATCCCACTAGATATATTAATACAGCCACTGGCATTCGTAAGGTCTATAATGGTGAAATCAACCTATTGCTTGAGACAAATGCAAAAATAAGGCACTCTTCGTGAAGGTTTGGGATCCCTGCGACCTTTAAAAAGTTAGGAGGTTCACCCACATTCCCTTAGCACCCTAAACTGAAATTGGCTTTTGGTAAAAAAAGATTAAAAAAATGTTATCTGGGAAAAAAAAAATTGGAAAAATGCACCATTATAAATATATACAGCAAATAAGAGGTATTAGATGCAATATGGACATTTAGGCAGGTGCAGTTAGCCACTTTGCCACTAGGTGGTTCTGTACCAGAATAGTGTCTGGTACTGCAGGTAGTGACAGCAGGTGCTAGGCCCCTTTTGAGTAGAGCCCTCCCACAGTGGCCATCAGGAGGTGAGTTGGCACCCATATATAAAAACTTTCTTGGGGGCATGGGAGCCAAACACCCCATACCTGTGAGCATGTAATCTATACACGTGGGCCCTAGACAGGGAGGGAGGCTGGGTGGAGTGGACCTGTGTGCAGGAGGAGCCAGTTATAATCATTCTGCCCCTTATGGAGGTGGAGGCTAGCTCGGACTGCAAAAGGCCTTTTTCAAATCCAGGCTAAAGATTCTTGTATGAGGCTGCTTCCCTGGATGGTTCCCAGGAGAGGTGTACCCAGCTAGGAGGTGTCTTCAGAGAACATGGTCTTAAGAGTATGAGTACTTAAGACCTTGGGCAGAGGAAAGACGGAAGATAGCTTTGGAGGTGCTGCATGTGTCATCACTTGGGACTACTATGGATTGTCCACTTTGAGGTGCTGCATGTGTCATCACTTGGGACTACTATGGATTGTCCACTTTGAGGTGCTGCATGTGTCATCACTTGGGACTACTATGGATTGTCCACTTTATGTAATTAACGGTGTATGTCAAGTTACTCTGAATTGTACGTCCCAGTGATGCGACTGTCTTGCCAATCCCTGAACACCACCAGTAAAATGTGCAGTGAAGTTATTGTGTGGACATCCGTTCTTAGGATATAAAAGGTCTATGGCCATGGATGTCATGAGAAGGCCTACAGCAAGGGGCAGGACACAAGATGGCGGAGGGGTCAACCTCAAAAGGTAGAATTGCATTCCATCAGAGTTGGAGTAGAGGTAAGGCCTTGTGCTTGGGTGCCAAAAAGAGGTCGACCACAAAGCCCATCTTACAGACATAGACATCCATTTTTCCATTTTTGAAAAGAACAGTCATCCAGACAAAGTCTTGCCAATCCCTGAACACCACCAGTAAAAAGTGCAGTGAAGTTATTAATTGTGTGGACATCCATTCTTAGGATATAAAAGGTCTATGGCCAGGGATGTCGTGAGAAGGCCTACAGCAAGGGGCAGGACACAAGATGGCAGACGGATCAGCCTCAACGAGTAGAATTGCGTTCCATCAGGGTTGGAGTAGATGTAAGGCCTTGTGCTTGGGTGCCAAAAAGTAGTCAACCACAAAACCCATCTTACAGACATAGCAGACATCCATTTTTCCCTTTTTGAAAAGAACAGTCATCCAGACAAAAGATAAACTCCGCTTTTAGTTGATCTCTATTTTTTTTACCTTGCTTTTGGAGGTCATATCAGGTAAGTGGCCATATTTCCTTATAGGCTGAATTTGACCGCAAATTCATACTACTGTTAAAAGTCCTTAAAATCGAAGAGGACCTTTGATGTGCATAAAATATTGAATGTCTTTTGGCAAGTACAGTCAATCATGGTATACTCATGGTCATGGAACCACATGTGTAGGTCTCAGTCAATGAATTAGATTTCGGTGTTTAAACATTGACACAAGTTGAGCAAACGAAGCACGAGAAGTAGAAACGCCGTGTCGTAATAAGCAGATTCCTCTGTTTCTGAGAAAGTCGCCCAGACAGCCAGGAAGCAGAGAACCTAGAGCTGAAGCAGCATACTGTACCTGATAGACGAAGCAGGTTGGCAGCAGAACAACATGGCACACATTTTGTTCTCTGCCCCCGGGCAGTCATCGTTCTTTAGCGTGTTTACAAGCCAAACATAACCAATAAATAAAATGTATCTCAACATACAAGTGCTTGGCTGCCAAGTGCTGAAGGGATCCAAAATCTCTTCCCAGATGAACAAGTTTTGTTGTGGTTTCAAACTTGCTATGTGGACAATTAGTACAAATTATTTATCAAATGTTGCAATGTCACAGACCTAGAAACCTTTGTCCTACTTTCTGACGTGCAGAATGAAAAGATCCGCTATTGTATGTGCCAGCTGGCTGAGTTGGAAAAACACCAAATCCTTTACGTCCAGGAGAGACGGGTTCGGAGATAATGGGTGTAAAAATTGTCCACACATGGGTATATGCAGGGGCGGACTGACAACTCATGGGGCCCCCGGGCAATAGGGGATCATGGGGCCCCTGTGTCCTTGACCAAACTGAAAAAAGCCTATGAAAAAGGTACCAGGGGCATCTCATGGGGCCCCCTACTGACCCGGGCCATTGGGCAGTGCCAGAGTTTCCAAATGGTCAGTCCACCCCTGGGTATATGCCTGTATCTGACAATACATGTAGTCTGATTCAACTAGGTCCTTTGGGTCTAACAAACAAACAATTGCATGAAGTAGAGGCCTATAAAAAAGGGAGAATTTCAAAACCGTGCCACAGTATATTATGAATACACACACATTTTTATTATATATATTTATTACACAGACACACCTCAAAAAAAAAAATATATATAAAAAAGGAACACTTTTTAATCCGAGTCTAGCATCCCGTCAGTTAAACTCTTGGGATATTGATCTGGTCAGCCAAGTAGCAGAGGGGGCTGCTAATCAGTTTCAGCTGCTTTGGTGTTAATGAAATTAACAGGTACACTAGATGGGCAACAATGAGATGACCCCCCAAAATAGAAAATGGTTTTACAGGTGGAGGCCACTGACTTTTCCCGACTCATCTTTTCTGACTGTTTTTCAGTAGTTTTGCATTTGGCTAGGGTCGGTGTCACTACTGGTAGCATGAGGCCATACCTGGACCCTACAGGAGGTTGCAGAGGTAGTCCAACTCCTCCAGGATGGCACATCAATACGTACCATTGCCATAAGGTTTACTGCATCTCCCAGCACAGTCTCAAGAGCATGGAGGAGATTCCAGGAGACAGGCAGTTACAGGTGAAACTCAAAAAATTAGAATATCGTGCAAAAGTTCATATATTTCAGTAATGCAACTTAAAAGGTGAAACTAATATATGAGATAGACTCATTACATGCAAAGCAAGATAGTTCAAGCTGTGATTTGTCATCATTGTGATGATTATGGCTTACAGCTCATGAAAACCCCAAATCCACAATCTCAGAAAATGAGAATATTGTGAAAAGGTGCAATATTATCGGCTCAAAGTGTCCCACTCTAATCAGCTAATGAAGCCATAACACCTGCAAAGGATTCCTGAGCCTTTAAATGGTCTCTCAGTCTGGTTCAATAGGAATCACAATCATGGGAAATACTGCTGACCTGACGGTTGTGCAGAAAACCATCATTGACACCCTCCATAAGGAAGGAAAGCCTCAAAAGGTAATTGCAAAAGAAGTTGGATGTTCCCAAAGTGCTGTATCCAAGCACATTAATAGAAAGTTATGTGGAAGGGAAAAGTGTGGAAGAAAAAGGTGCACAAGCAGCAGGGATGACCGCAGCCTGGAGAGGATTGTCAGGAAAAGGCCATTCAAAAGTGTTGTACTCTAGAAGAGCTGGACAGGGCCGTAGAAGGCCCTTAACCCATCAGCAGGACTGATATCTGCTGCTCCGTGCAAGGAGGAACAGGATGAGCACTGCCAGAGCCCTACAAAATGACCTCCAGCAGGCCACTGGTGGGAATGTCTCTGACCAAACAATCAGAAACAGACTTGTCCTCTAGTGGGCCCTGTGCTCACTGCCCGGCACCATACAGCTTGATTGACATTTCCCATTGAACACCGTAATTAGCAGGTCCGCCACTAGAGCCCTGTGCTTTTCACAGATGAGAGCAGGTTCATCCTGAGCACATGTGACAGACGTGAAAGGGTCTGGAGAAGCCACAGAGAACATTTAGCTGCCTGTAACATGGTTCAGCATGACTGTTTTGGTGGTGGGTCAGTGGTGGTCTGGGGAGACATATCCATGGAGGGACGCACAGACCTCTACAGGCTAGACAATGGCACTGTGACTGCCATTAGGTATTGGGATGAAATCCTTGGACCCATTGTCAGACCCTACGCTGGTGCAGTGGCTCCCGGGTTCCTCCAGGTGCACGACAATGCCCGGCCTCATGTGGCGAGAGTATGCAGACAGTTCCTGGACGATGAAGGAATTGATACCATTGAAAGGCCCCCACACTCCCCTGACCTAAATCCAATAGAACATCTATGGGATATCATGTTTCGGTCCATCTGATGCTGCCAGGTTGCACCTCAGACTGTCCAGGAACTTAGTGATG